GAATCATGGAAGATGGAACGAAAGACGAACTGTTGAGACGAGCCGTGACGTCTTTATGCGGGCACGTTTGCATATATGCATGCGAGTCGCGACAATGCCTTGAGGGGGAGGGTTGTAAAGCGGTTAAGAGGATTTGTCACCTCGTGTCACTGGATAAACTCCTTTTCCTCTCCCTCGCGAAACTCCAGTGCCTCGGTTGACACCTTCGAGGACACGATTCGCGAGTCTCCCTCCTTCTCGCTCTCTATACTCCTATTCCACCCCCAACGCAGATTTCTCATCCCGTCGTCGCTTGGCGGAGCGCCGCGCGCGCCGGATCGGCGAACCGAAACCCCTTTCGTTCGCGATTTCCTTTGTTCGGGACGCATCAAACGTGAAATATGCGAGTTCGCCCGGGGAATTCCGGTAATTTGCGAGGAGGAATCGCGGAAACTCGAGTTCGTCTTTAATCCTGCGGAATACTGGATTTGTCGAACGTTTCACGAGCCACCCCCCAGCCGCCAGCCGCACCGAGGGAAACTTTGTCTTCCGAAACGCGTGTGATACTAGGTCTCCCGTCGAACTTACTCTTCTTCCGGCATCGCCGACCCTTTCCAACCCTGCGGGATCCCGTCCCGTCGCGGTATTAATCGCTACTTATTTCAAGGTTTAATGGCGCCGTAAAGAAAACCGGTGAAGGAGGACGACCAGCACCCGCCGCCGGCGAATATATCCACTTGAATTTGTAGCGCCATTCCGACGGTGTGCGCAGAGTTGGCGTATTTAAACGGGCCGGCCCGTTTAAATGAACGGTTCCCGGCTCGTTCGAAAACGTTACGGGGGTTGTTTCAAAGGCGGAACGTTACGGTGACGTTAATCTTCCTCTTTTTCTCCGCGGACTTCCGCCGGGACTCCTTGTATCGCGTGTTGTAGGACCGTCTATGATCGGCACGGCGATTAAGGGAAAGATTTATCGTACCGGGAACGTCGCCGACCGCGAACGAAAAAATCGAGACGATTGATTTAAGTAACAGCGGATCGTGGGGTTTGTTCATTTATCGATAGGTCGAACACCGGGGTGAAAGTTGTTCAAGGATTTATCTGATTTTTAATGTGATTCGTTTTGCACGGGGAAGGGCAATGAAATTCCCGTCGATCGGTTTTATCGAATTTGCCCCTTCGCGCGTGAATTCGCAAGAGCATCTGCATTTTCGAATAAATTTATCGCCGTGTAATTGAACTCGTTGAACTGGATTTAATATTATTATTAAAGGGCAGCTGCTCGTCCGAGTGTTCTGCGTAATGTCTGAATTGAGTGCGCAAATGTTTCGAGATTTACACTGGTTTCGGGAATATTTGGACAGGTGATCGTTCATTTTAACCCTTGTGCATCGTTCGAGTCAATTTGTACCAGGATGGGTATTTAAAATATTTTGCTGTCGTACTGGAATTGCATAATCGCATTTTATTCAGTTTTTGTGTACGTTGATTATTGAATATGCTGAATTATTACATTTAGTTGGACGGATTTCAATTTTAATACAGTGAAGTTTTAATGTTGTGTAAGAAGATATACAAATAGAATTATTGTATTAAGGGTGAATGACGGATAACACATTCGCTTTGAGTAAATTAATTCGATTTTATTATTCAATTGAATTCAGCGCATAATGATGAAAAGTTTCCGAACAAATCCAATCACTTTGACGATCCATGCGTCTGGTTCTTCCTTATCAATTTTAAGTATCATATTATACCACGTCCATTAGACACAATTCCGTAATCTGCGCGTTGTATTATTGAAACTCTACCTCTGCGATAGAGGTACCTAATGAATAACCAATTGACACTTTCGAAAAATAAGAATATACACTAATCCGAATAAATTTATGAATGTGTCCATTTCATTGTATCATATTAATATTGTCATTAAGCTTATTAATATAATTATAAGCCATCTGCGATTGCGTATATACTTCATTCACAAATATACATACAGGAAGGTAAACCAGCATTACTTCCTGAGGTAAATTACCATTCAAAAACAATGCAATTTTGTCACAAACAACAATATTTAATCTTTAATTCTCTAAGGTACTCAACCATACACGTTTCCCACCCCGAATTTCAATAATGTTCACCTCTTCCACGCAAACAATAACAAATATCAAAAGAACGCATGTCAAACGTTTCCATAAACTCCATTCCCAAAACTTCTCCCATACAAAGAGCACCAATCCAAATATTCCCATAAAAACTATATTCACCAAATTTCCACAAAAATCATACCTCATCCCACGTGTTTCATCATTAGAAGAAACCGTAACAAATGATCGCACTCAATTTTCCGGTCGACGGTATTCAATTCGGACGTATCGTCGATATCGATACTTGCTTATCCAGCGGGCACCGCGTACAATCTAACGAACAGTTCAACCCCAATAATGTCCCCAGCCATACATTTCCACGGACGCACCAGGATTTCCCAATTAACGCGTCCGTTTGTTAACGCATCGATCCGCCGTAGAAACTAGATTCACTACATTGCCAGTTAATCGTTATTGCGAGGAAATCGAGCGCGATCCCACGAATTTCGGAAAGTCTGATCGTCCATCGGCGGCGTCTCCCCTTTAACCCTTCGCCCGCCGCCCCAGAACTTTCGTTCTCGCGAACCTCGCGTCGAGTCGTTCCTGCGACCGAACGACAGCGCCGCGTCGCTTTCACTTTCCGCCATGGCGACGTGCTCGGATACAGATCGCGGTCTGTTGACATCCATTGATCATGACATGAATAATGAATGGATACACCGAGCTGAATAATGCATGCATCAATGTCGAACAACATCCACTCGATGGATGTATAACCAGTCGGTTGTGCAGCGGGCGACGCCGCGCCATGGCGAACGTTGATGAACACGAGGCCCTCGGGGTTGACGTTGAACGATATCGCGATATCGTGTTACAAGTTTGCGCCGCGTAACTCTTCTGGCTCGCGCGCCGCCAGTTGTTTGCCGCCGCCGCCGCAGCGTCCTTTTTGGGGCCATCGGTCTACACGGGATCGAATTAACCTTGCGATACCTCTTTCAGAGAACGGGAGCACTGGCTGCTCGCGAGGTCGATGCACCTTCGTTAACGATTACCGATATATCGAAGGGCTGTTGAATTATCACGATAAGGGTTGCTGTGGAACTTGGATGTCGACGATGAAAGTGTTTTTGGAGAATTGTTTGCTCGTATATCTTTGGATTGTTGGTCTGACTTTGTTGGTTGAACAATTTGATTTGTACCGGATGAAATGTTGTCGTTTGTACAAGTGTTAGATGATTGATATGATTATGTTATTTGTTGAATTAACCTGATGCTCTGGGATGAAGATTTGAAATTTTTACCGACCGAATTTTATATTCTTTTGTCTTGTTTTATTGTGTTTTTGAAAAAACTTGGGTGATCTATAGTGTATCTTGTTTGTCTGGATGAGACTGAGGAATTAAAATGTTTTAAATATTTTTGTTATAATAACTATGTGTTATGTATTTCTATTAAATTGAATTGCGCGCGTGCTGGTTACCGCTAATTTTGCTAGGCGAGGTTGGCGAAACTGATTTTTGCAATATGGCGCACAAGCTTTGTATCTACCGAGCCAGCTGAACGAATATTCAATGCTTCTGTAGCACTAGCTTGTTCGAATAAACAGGTATTGAACAGTTTTCTGGTGTTCAAGTTATTCCAAGAACACAACACTATGAAAATTTCAACTGCTTATGTAACGATTGTGATACATTCTTAGGTTAGTAATTTTAAATGGTTTGTATATATTGCTTAATATTTGACATTGTGTACGAGAATAAATAAACTTTTCTGCACGTATTACAGTGGTAATAGGGTCATAGTAATTAGGGTTTCTATTGGAATAGACATTAATTATCAATCAATTGAATATGCATCTATTCAAACAATGTAATTAATATTCATATTGCTAACTATTCGTGACTAATTACAAGCGTTACAACCTATCGATAACCAGCGAGCTTTGATAACCCGGAAGGTCTAAGCTTCTATAATATATGATATTAATCCTATTAAATAAATAATTCCGTCGAATAGAATTAGAGATTTAAGACAAATATCAAAGCTTGCAGATATTTGTTGGGAAGAAGATAGCGGTCTCGGAAGCGAACGTCTCGGTATTGTGAAGTTTCTGTATCGGGGTCATTTGTTGAACAGTAAACATTATCTTCTTGTTCAGTTTATGGAGGTCGTGATAAGAGGATGGGCAGAGACGGGTCGACAAGGTGCCGTAGTTTCGCTAGGTAGTTATAGCCATTTGCGGTCCATCGAAGTCATAATTAGTTTTCCTCGTACAGCGTCGGTCGACCGAACCTGATAGACAGTTTTCGGGAAAATCGACCAGGCGTTGGAAATACTATTTGCCCGAGAAGGGACGCTGCTTACAGAAAACATCGTACCCTTTACAATTTTTTCCAATTTTCTTCGATAAATCATTCTGCCGTTACGTAAGAAATGTACTACTTTCTGTATACCTAAACTAAATTAATACATGTTTGATGACATTCAATTTGTCATTTCTCTACAATTTACCAGAAATTTTTAAACTCTCAACAAAATACTCTTCTTTCCTAATTTAAATTTAAAATCATTATAACATCAAACATTCACTAAGTCACAAGTAGACTCTATCAAATTCAATGTCATTGAACATAACCGTTCGATTCCCATTTCACTTCAAAAGGTGTCCATACTGCATACAAAACTTGTTTTCTAATCTAACTTAAAAGTAATAATAACATCAGACATTCGTTAAACCGTAATTGAAACCTGTTAAACTCAATATCGTTCAGCGCAGCCATTCAACTCGGATTTCATTTCGAAAAGAGTTTCATACTGCGTGCAGAACCTTTGCCGAAAGTCGTGTGTACCCGCTGTAAAGTAAAATAACGTCTCTATCGAGCGTCCGGCGTTGAATGGAGGCCCCGAAGTGACAAACGTCTCGTTTTGTTGCAGGATCGGTGAACGAGGCCGGCGTGTTCACCCTCCGAGGCAGACAGGAGGGTGGCCGACGTGCTAGAAGAACCACGACAAGCACCACGAGCACAACGCCGTCCAGCTCGACGTTGATTTCTCTGTCCGACGACGTGGCGCAGCCCGCGGCCCTTTTAGCCCCCGAAGAGGACTTATGGTCTACCAGCTCCTCCGCTACAACCAATGTTCCAGTCTCCTTAGATACAGCTGCCGCGCCGTCAAAGCCACCCTTCAAGATGGAGGTGGAACCTCACAAACAGGTCATACTGCCGTGCGAGCTAGAAGGAAATCACTCGAGGCTGCTGCTGCCCGAGGCCAGGTAATTTAGGGTTCTTTATTGACAAATAGAACGTACATGAACGGATGCTGAGAAGATTCATTACGACTCCGCTTCTTCCGTCCCACGCCGGCGAGACGTCCGTTTCATCGCGCGGGAAATACTCCACCCTTCGCTTTCCCATTTTCTTTCATTCGAGGAGTGCACGGTCCCATTGAAAATGGAGCCGAGTGGATGAAAACGGGAGATGTGTGCGAGCGCGGAGTTTATTTCGTGCCCCTTGACATTAAATTTCTTACCTGCTCGAGGAGAGTATTTTGTTGAGCACTGGGTATTGGCAATATGGTAATCAATTTTGTAGAGAACTATGAGATTGAGTCGTATGTGAAATAAAAATGGAATGGAAGGTTGATTGGAATAGCTGAATTGTTTTAGTGATAATGACGAGGTCGTTAATTGTTTATTATATACTATTATTCGATTCAATTGAACAAAGTTTGTTATTAATATAACCAGAACTGTATACAGTATTTTGTTTAAATTCTCTTCGTGTTTCAAGAAAGCATCTACAATTTCTGTTTACAGAATTTATAAATAAATGACTTTTTTTTATACTTGAATAGGCCTTGGTTGCAATATCGATGTTATTAATATTCAATAGAGCTGATACCTTTGCGATGATAGTTGGATGTTATTGATGGCGTCGTCCCTTCAAATTAATACGCTAATTAATACGTTCCGTTGCTAGGAGCTACAAAATACGGCCGGCAACATGGCTGCACGAGGGACGTCCAGTGGATATGATTACAATCAACACGAAGACGGAGATGAGTGGAACAGGACACAGATATATTGGCGATTCCACCACGGCTTCGTTGCATATAGACAACGTTAGATTAGAAGACGATGGTATATGGGGCTGTACATTGGAGGACGACCAGGGGAAGATTCTCGCTGGCAGACCTGTGAAGCTCGTTGTTCTTGGTGAGTCATTGTTCCATTATTATCGCGCTAACATCAGTCGGTCCCTTTAATTGGCGTACACTATTGTTTACACCGGACACTTATGTTGGTAAATGTGCAATCAGACTTAGTAGATATCAATGTTATATAGGTACATAGAAATTTCTAATTACATATACGTCTCGCGTATAAATAGAACTTTCTAATGATACTATAATCGGAACTGTTTTAAACGTTATAAAATCACATGTATTAGAGAACATATTGATTAGACGACGTTATTTAAAATATTCATTATGTGAATTTTAACTTTTTACAATCGAGAAACAATCGAAACTTTTCTAATGAGAAATAGGCGATGTTTTGTGGAACTAACTTAACGATAACTCATGTATAAATTACAGTATACATGATATTACGATGCCTATATTTCACTCTACAATAAATTTTTAAGAAGTTCTTCGTTTCTCAATGAGAATTCATTTTCGGTCTGAACGGAAAATTCAATGTGGGTCGTATACGTTCCACGCGGTACGGAAGGTGTTAAACACGTGCCTTGCTTCCATGACAAATATCTATAAATATACTATAAAACAGTCAAAACATTTCTAAACAATATCCAATAATCTTCAAGATACAAAGAAACAGGGAACCCAAATTTCAACATTAAAACACCGTCTCCAAATCAACAGAAAAAGATAAAAATATAGTTCAGTATTCTCTCTGACAAAAAATCAGAATTTCCTGGTTATCAAACTCCCTCCACCCCTAAATCATCCACAGTTCGGAACCACATGGCTATCAGAGAGGACTCTATCAGCATCCATTCGCGCGGCATCGGTGCGTTCCGCGCGAAATTTGAGGAGAGACACCGGCACCGGTCGGAATTAAATATCACGTAACGTACGCGGCGTGCAGATGAACCACGGGCATACAGGGAAGGGATGATAAATAAAAGGTTCGTGGCGGGGTCGCTGAAAAGAGCAGCCGGGCCGCGGACAGTCGGGGACGTCTAGCACTCGAATGAAAATAAAAGGTCGGGCCTGTCCTACGCGGGACGGCGGGATATTAAAAACAAAAGTGGTCCGCGGTAGGGAAACGTCGCGGTGTGGCGTGGGTTCATTTGGAACGTGATTCGAGCGAGCCGGCAAAGAGGGTTGAAGTGCGTCACGCGGCCGCGTCCCGATTGTTTCGCTATGCGGCGCCATTGTTCCGGCGTGTACGTACGTTTTCGTCGCGGAGACAACCGCGCGCGGCCAGAAAACCGCGCGGTGCCGGCTGACGCGTATGTCAACGGCGGGGAAAAAAGAG